TATGAAATCAGATCCATTAAATTCTAAGATCTGATTTACATTTCTAATTAAAGTTGTTTTTGATCATACGTATAGATAATTATATAAAAATTCCAAAATTCTAAAATTTCAAATACATACAAAAACAATCATATGTAAATTTTAAATTTGTGAATATTAAAATTTTATATTTTAATTACATATATTCACCCTGCGCAAGACGCAGGTCTTATCCTAGTATACTCTTATATCTAAAAACTAAGGCAACAGATATGGAATTTAAATATACTAGAGACTTTTCCCCTCGTATAAGTTTTAATTTAATTTAATTTGTTTTTGAATCAATTTTTGCATTTATTTAACTTTTTGCTCGTATAACTTTTTTGGACAAGTGCATGTATAGTTGTAATTTAAGAAACAAAGTTTCATGTATTGTTGTTGATGATGGCAAAACCGTATAAAGTGTTGTTGTAGGTGATAAAGTCAAAGCTTAGTATGAAATGTGAGGAAAAGAGAGGACGTGCTATTTGAGTGTGTAATGTTTTAAAATCTATTTTACCAAAAATGCATTTGAAAAAACGAAGGCCAAGGCAATGTATGTGTCATTCCTGCCAGTTTATTGCTCTATGGTTTTTCATATAAGTAACATGTTCTGCATTTTGTTTCAACCATTATAAAATAACTTCAACTCTTTTTAAACTATTATATAATAGAAACAGTTCTCCTTGGACCTTGGATAAAGTACTTAGCCGAAAATGGCTTTTAAAATAACCTGGTTAGTTAGCAAAAAGAAAAACTTTGAAATAGGGAAACTATTGCAAGTCTATATTAAAAAAATGCATAGTAATTTAAGAAATTGTAGAGACAATTAAGGTGTGACGGCTTTGTAACTTTACTCATGGGGTGTGAGAAAAAAAATATTTGCATGTTTGAGACATTACTATCTTATTTCATGACGAATTTGCAGAAAAACTATCCATGAATTTTATAGAATGACTTGATTTAAGAAATGATGGTTTCTTTGTTGAGCAAGCTTTCCCTGATGTAATCGGCAAGCTTGGTTTTAGAAACTCTTGGAATTCATATTTGGACCTAAACAAAGATTGAGTAACTCAACTAGAAAGAATGATATATATATGTCCTGTCATAAGTTCTTTTAGAATAGGTACCTAATGAATTTCATACGTTGGTCATGACTAACATCAGGTCCAGGCTTAGAGCTTCCTTCAGGTACAAAAGCTTCGTAAATAAAATTAGCAGAAGCATTTCATGTATAATAACCAAAAACTATGTAGATAATAAAAAATAAGAGACAGCAAACATAATAGAAGCTACACCACAACATTTATATCACCTTTGAGATATGAGTGCCAACGCTTTAGTGCAAACCACAACAGTTTAAGCAAATGAAGACTCCGTTATTTCCTGATCTTAGAAAGATGAGAAAGAAGACACCAACTGATTAAAACAAAAGAAAGAAGACACAAGCACAAGTATTAGTAGCTTTTGGTGATGATTAAGAAAAGTAGTGATTTCAAATATCAAGCTGATTAGATATCAAATGGTTTAGAAAAGTTTGCAGGTTTCAATAGCAAAAACGTTGAAACCACAAAACGAAGAGGAGGGGGGGTGATGAACTTACGCCCATTTAGGATCAGGAGCGGAACAATCAGCACATACTCGGCTATCAGGTTGATTCCAAAGATCTTTATTCTCCTTTTACCTGTTAAACACGCAACCTAGTCATCAGAAACTCTAAAGATCATTTTGTGAATTCTCCAGCCAGTGGCGGATCCAGGAGTACATTTAAGAGGTGTCAAAAATAATTAAGGGTGTCATTGGTAGGGGACGAACTCGGGTATAAGGTGTCAAGAGATAACTTTTCCCAACAGAGCTATAGACTTTTCATTGTTTTTGTGAACAAACTTTTATTTATAGGAATTTAAGGGTCACTTGACACCCTATAGACTCAAGTAGATCTGCCACTGTCTCCAGCCATTATTCTAATAACCACAGAACATGAAAATAGAGGAAATTTCTCTAAATCTATAGAAAATCTCTACAAAATAATGAAAATCCCATAACAAAATTGTGATATACCTAAGGCAGGCTGACTGAGTATGGCTGCATAATTTCTCATTTCTCTTCTAAGAAACAACAATCATTCACCCAATGATCCTTACATATGAACAGATGTGCCTTTGCCAGATGAATCTTTACTTTAGAGCCAACTCTTTAGCTGCAGGGACCACCATGAACTCCAACATCATTGAACCTATTATAATTTTCATAACAAAGAGATGTACATGAAGACAGACCTGGAGTGAGAGATTATATAACTATTTTTAAGAAGGAATAAATGGAGATAAGCCTGAATATATGGAAACGGTGAGTATCAACCTACATGGACCACAAGGCGAGTCGTTTGTGCGGAGTTGTTGAGGCCAGATCTTTGCACGAAACGTACTTGGCAACAACATCTGACATTTTCAAAATTGGTTAAAGATGCAATTGCTAATAAAAAAGTTGCGAGTTGATGATAGGTCATGCATATCATCTAGTATTCAATTGAATCAGAGTACGTAAGAGAGCAGTCATGTGCTATACATGTGGTGAAGGCTGAGTAAGTGACTTGGAAGGAGGCATAAGGTTTGCTGTTACAGAGTCGACAAAATGCTATAGTTAATTTCTAACAATGCATCTCTAAATTTTTTTTTTTGCCACACCACTTATTTTGTTGGTTTTGTTGTTTACCATCATCTGATATTCCTATAATCTTAAATCTGAATCCTCAAGTTCATAATCAACAAAGGACTATGTTCATGATCACTATTTCACTAGGTGATTTTCCCGTGCTCATGCACGGGTATAAATATTTATTAAGTAAATATAATATAATAAATGTTTACTATTTAATTTTAATTTTCAATTAATTTATAATTTGCATACATGATTTATATTAATAATATTATTTTACTTTAGTTAGACATATTATTTTAGAAATATTATATCTAGTCAATTTTATTATTTTATAGCCGATTTTACTGTTATTATTTGGGTATATTAGATTACATTCTTTTATCTGAATTCAACTATAATATTTTTTATTCTAAATATATTAAATTTTGATTAATTTTAGTATTTACTTTTAGGTTGTTTGCTGTCTCAAATGTCAATATATTTTAGTAAAGTTATTTATAACTTAAGATATATTATGCCTATAATGAAATATAAAATAATTTTGATTTCAAATTACATCAATCGATATAAAGATAATCTTTGAAGTCTCATGCATATATATAAATTTCACAAAATAAATCAAATTAAAGTAATATTATTTATCATTTAAATGTGCACGTATTTTCATAATATTTATCGAGTTATATGTTTCTTTAAAATATAGTAGAAAATAAAGCAATAATCAGTAGGAGTTACATACTTAAGTAACTCATATATTTTTGGAGATTCATGAACACATATCAATATTTACAATAACTAAAATATTTTATAAATTCTAAATAATTTTATATCTTAGATTTATTGAATGATAAACTGAAATTATTTTAAATAATCTTAAAAATGAGAACTCGGATTTGCTTTGGTATTTTTATTATGGTTATATTAAGTTACACAAACATAAATTTTTTTTAAAAAAATTAAAATTAAAAAACATATAATTTAAATAATGATAGAATATAACATATCTATGTCATTAAAGTATATAGTGTATGATATTTTAAAATATTTTGTAATTGTTTGATTAAAAGATGTTTATTGTTAAAAAAGTATTTTAATTTCTTTTAAAAATAAGCAGTAAAAATTGTGGTTGTATTTGAGAAATCATATTATATAAGTAAAATTTAATTTATAGATATTTTTTTTTCTTTAGTTGAAAGATACTATAGTCAACTAAATATATGAAAATAAATAAAATAATTTTAATTAAAAACTATTTTAGTTAATAAAAACATATACTTGTTTATGTTACTTAAAATTATGTTTAAAAGTAATTTTTTTTTTAAAATATCAAAATTATATGTGTGAATTTTTTTGTTATGAAATCACATTATATAAAAATATATATTTTCATATAAGAAAATACAGATATAAAGAAAGTATTTTATTAATTAAAAAGTACATTTTATGTTATTTAAAATATTTTTAATGGATGTTACTATTTTGTTAATTTTCCCTTTTAATGAAATCATATTATATAAACATATATTTTCGTTTTTCATTTTTCCTTTTAAAATTTATAGATTTTTTTTTCTATTATAAATTTTAGTTGGAAATTTTTAAAAAGCAAACTAAATACAAAATTAATAATACTATTTTGCTATTTTGATAGTATATTACTATTTTGTGAACTTTCCTTTTTAATGAAATCATATTATATAAACATATATTTTCGTTTTTAATTTAATAATTTTTTCCTTTTTTATTATAAAAGTTATTTGGAATGTTTTAAAAAGGAAACTAAACATAAAATTAATAATATTATTTAAATATACTATTTAAATATATTCATCAAGGGTATCATAGTAATCAACCGGTGTAAGAGTCAACGTGAGCGCGCCACATAGAAAACTGACTTCTCAAATAATATTATAGAGATAACCTTAGGTTCGAGTCCACCTTTTTACCTTATTTTGGTGGTCATTTTTTGGTTTTGAGTTTGTAGCTTTTGAAATTTTACGGTTGACTATGCTAGAAAAAAGGAAACATTTGAACATTGTTTTTACATTGTATTCTCTTTTTTTTTACATAATTGTACATATTCATATTGTACACACTATATATACAATATGATTTTTATATTTACAATATGAGTTTAGAGTAAAATATCTGAATTCTGGAGGAGATTACAATCAGCTATATTTTGACTTTGCTAAGAGATGAATTACACATAATTTCAAGATCTTTTGATATGACTGCATTTCAAACTCTTGCGCTCCAGCCCATAGTCCTTGTTGATCTATTTTATAAGAATATCTGCATCAATGACTTTTTCACCGGATCTCTTGCTGAAAAAACTAATTAAGAAAACAAAAAAGGAGAGAGAAGTATGATTTGAGTTCTTGATAATGATGGGATAATGCTGCAGAGAAGTAAAGAAGTTCTTGTTGTTGCCAAGTATCAATGGTGAGCTTAAACAATGGAGCAGTGTAGCTTGACAAAGTCGGTGTAGAAGGAGTTACGAAAAGATCCAAAGACGGTCTCACAATCTTGGATCATCTTATTGACCGCGTCGCAACATTTGGCTCCGGTGTCAAAACTCCTAACGATATAATCAAAACATGCACTTACCTCCTCTTTGTCGGACAAGCATCTAATGATCCCGGGGAAGGCTTTTCTAGGGTTTACATATGGCTTGGGGTGAAAGCTAGGGTGGAACCACCCCGATCGAAAGAGCTCTTGGTTAGTTGATGACTCTACTTCGCTTGTTGTGACGACACTGCTTGAGAAGAGGATCATCATAGCAAGAACAAGTATGATATTATTCATCTTTTTGCACTCTTTGAAGCTTTTAAGTTTGTGATGGCTCGTAAAGAAGGAAAATAGATATGAAACTTGTATTGATCGATGAGCAATAGTTTTGTTTATATATACTCATAATAATATGTCGTAACCCTTATGGGATTAGGAGTTTTTAATAGGACTTATCTCTAACTAATATATTTACGCTATAAAGATAATAACTGTATATATATATGCAAAATAAAAAGATATGGCAACAACATCTGACATTTTCAAAATTGGTTAAAGAAGCAATTGCTAATAAAAAAGTTGTGAGTTGATGATAGGTCATGCATATCATCTAGTATTCAGTTGAATCAGAGTAAGAGAGCAATCATGGGCTATACATGTGGTGAAGGCTGAGTAAGTGACTTGGAAGGAGGCATAAGGTTTGCTGTTACAGAGTCGACAAAATGCTATAGTTAATTTCCCAACTTAGCTCAACAAAATGCTATAGTTAATTTCTGACAATGCATCTTTAAAATTATCTTTTTGCCACACCACTTATTTCGTGGGTTTTTTCGTTTACCATCATCTGATATTCCTATAATCTTAAATCTGAATCCTCAAGTTCATAATCGACAAAGGACTATGTTCATGATCACTATCTCATAACCTTAGGTTCGAGTCCACCTTTTTACCTTATTTTGGTGGTCATTTTTTGGTTTTGAGTTTGTAGCTTTTGAAATTTTATGGTTGACTATGCTAGAAAAAAAGGAAACATTTGAACATTGTTTGTACATTGTATTCTCTTATTTTTTACATAATTGTACATATTCATATTGTACACACTATATATACAATATGATTTTTATATTTACAATATGATTTTAGAGTAAAATATCTGAATTCTGGAGGAGATTACAATCAACTAGATTTTGACTTTGCCAAGAGATGAATTACACATAATTTCAAGATCGTTTGATATGACTGCATTTCAAACTCTTGCGTTCCAGCCCATAGTCTTTGTTGATCTATTTTATAAGAATATATGCATCAATGACTTTTTCACCGGGTCTCTTGCTGAAAAAACTAATTAAGAAAACAAAAAAGGAGAGAGAACACACAAAAAAAAGAAGTAGGAGAAGAATCGATCATTTGTAAAGAGACGATTCTACAGCAAACTGTCCATTTGGCATATTATTATTAGTGTAGCTTCATTTATTTTGTTTAATTTATTTATTTAATTTATTTAAACTTAGTTATCATTAATATAATCAAGAAGTATTCTTTTCTCTAAATCAACCAATGCTGATGTTCTAAGGTGGGTTTATATCATTTTTAGGTCCAATAGGACGAATAGTCATAAACGGAAGAGTAGAATACGATGTGAATGAAGGTAGATAAGACTTGTTTGATATCGATACCATGTTTACATGAATGAATGGTGATCTCAAGAAGTATACCATGTTTGCATATTTACAGATTACGTATACAGATATACAATTTGTTGTATGCAGTTGGATATTTTGTGGCCAGAAAACTCAAGACTCTAAACGAAATTCTGTTTTTTTTTGTAAAGATAGCAGTGAAGCACATACTAATATTTTTAGCTCAGAGATTTGAAATTTACTAATTACTAACGTTTGATTCTTCAAACTTATATGTGCTACTACTGCTTGGCACGATATTCAATCAATTTTTGATGACCTCCCAAATAATATTAAACTTTTCTTTTGTCATCCCCCAAATTATGTCAAGTATACTATCGAGAATATTATTTGTCCTTCACTCTTTTTCTCTCTGCAGATAGCAGATAATGCATAATTTAGGCCCAAATAAACCCATTAATCAAGCCCAATAAATCAGGTGGTTTCCTAAAACAGAATCATTCGATTTATAGATTCAGGTACTGTAGTTACCCTAGCATTTCACACACAGTAATGGCGTCTCGGAGAGTCTTATCATCACTTCTCCGTTCATCCTCCGGCAGATCTACCGCCAGATTCGGGAGCCGTAACCCTAGGTTCCCGTCTCCTTCACCAGCTCGCCGCGCAGCTCCTTTCGGAGACATCCTCGGACGCGTCGCCGAATATTCGACCTCTTCACCGGCTGCGCCATCATCGTCTGCTGCTCCAGGCAAAGATGAGGCGGCGAAGAAGACTTACGATTACGGTGGGAGAGGTGCGATCGGGAAGGTTTGCCAGGTCATTGGTGCTATAGTGGATGTGAGATTTGAAGATCAGGAAGGATTGCCGCCGATAATGACGTCACTGGAGGTGCAGGATCATCCGACGAGGCTGGTGCTTGAGGTGTCTCATCATTTGGGGCAGAATGTTGTTAGGACTATTGCTATGGATGGTACTGAAGGTCTTGTTCGTGGTAGGCGCGTTCTCAACACTGGCGCTCCTATCACTGTAAGTTGTTTTCCGTTGTTTAGATCCTTTGAATCTGGATCGTCGATTCTCGGAATTAGGGAATTAATAGGTCAAGATCTGTGAATTCGTTAACGGTGTGTATTGCTTCATCTCGAGATTGCCTTTATTCAGTGTTGACTTTGTGCAGATACACTTCTTTGTTCGAAAAGTATATTCATTTATAAGGAATTCAATGTTTCAAATCATTTTCGTGAATGTGGATGACTAATCATTTTATTTGTTTGTTACTTTTTTTAAGGTTCCGGTTGGAAGAGCTACACTTGGACGTATTATGAATGTTCTTGGAGAACCTATTGACGAGAGAGGCGAGATTAGTAAGTGTTTTAAGATACCTTTGAACAGTGTCTTACTTACTTAGAACGTGTCTTGACAATTTGATTGTTTCTGTTGCCTAGAGACTGAGCACTACCTTCCTATTCACAGAGATGCTCCAGCTTTGGTTGATCTAGCCACCGGGCAAGAGATCCTTGCCACTGGTATTAAGGTAGGATTTGGGCTCTATCTCCGCGTTGTTCCCGTGGGTTACATGTTGTCTTTTGTGTCTCAGGCTAAAGTTTGTTGCTTTCGTTCTAGGTTGTTGACCTGCTTGCTCCCTACCAAAGAGGAGGAAAGATTGGACTCTTTGGTGGTGCTGGTGTTGGGAAAACTGTGCTCATTATGGAACTGATTAACAATGTCGCCAAAGCTCATGGTTTGTATTCTCAGGGTCTTTCCTAAGTAGTTTTCACAGCCAACTCCAGATTTAGTTTATTAATTGGTGCTTCTTGATACACAGGTGGTTTCTCCGTGTTTGCTGGTGTGGGAGAAAGAACTCGTGAAGGAAATGACTTGTACAGAGAAATGATTGAGAGTGGTGTCATCAAGCTTGGCGAGAAGCAGGTTTTAAAATTATTTTGATTAGACTTCATCTTTCTTTTCCCTGGCAAATGGCATTTGACTGATATTGGTTTGTTACTGAGATATCCTTACTTTCTCATCTGACAGTCTGAGAGCAAATGTGCTCTTGTGTACGGACAAATGAACGAGCCCCCGGGTGCCCGTGCCCGTGTTGGACTTACTGGTTTGACTGTTGCCGAGTATTTCCGTGATGCCGAAGGCCAAGATGTGTTGCTTTTCATTGACAACATTTTCCGTTTCACTCAGGTGAGCTTTGTTGATTTCTCTGTCTCTCAGCATCTGTGTGTCATATACTGATGAGTAACTATAAATTTAACTCTGATTCACATTCTTGTTGTGTAGGCTAACTCTGAAGTGTCTGCTTTACTTGGTCGTATCCCATCTGCTGTTGGTTACCAGCCTACTCTGGCTTCCGATCTTGGTGCTCTTCAAGAGCGAATCACAACCACCAAGAAAGGTTCCATCACCTCTGTCCAAGCCATCTATGTCCCTGCTGATGATTTGACAGATCCTGCTCCTGCCACAACCTTCGCTCACTTGGACGCCACAACAGTGCTGTCAAGACAGGTTTCAACTTACCTCCTTCTGATGCTTCTTTTAAAAAATTTCTCTGTAATGTTTATAATGATGATATCTTAATTCTTTTCTCATTCACATGTGAAGATTTCCGAGCTCGGTATCTATCCTGCTGTGGATCCTCTAGATTCAACTTCCCGTATGCTCTCGCCTCACATTCTGGGGGAGGAGCACTACAACACAGCTCGTGGTGTGCAGAAAGTGCTACAGAACTTCAAGAACTTGCAAGATATCATTGCCATTTTGGGAATGGATGAGCTAAGTGAAGATGACAAGCTGACTGTTGCCCGTGCCCGTAAGATCCAGAGATTCTTGAGTCAGCCATTCCATGTTGCTGAGATCTTCACTGGTGCCCCTGGAAAATACGTTGACCTTAAGGAAAACATCAACAGTTTCCAGGTATATTTATATGCCCATATGACTTTCTTCTTTGCTACATCTTTGTTTGCTATATATTAATGAACTCATATGAGTTGTGAATTGTTGTTGTAGGGTTTACTCGATGGTAAGTACGATGATCTTCCTGAGCAATCCTTTTACATGGTTGGTGGTATCGACGAGGTTGTTGCGAAAGCAGAGAAGATCTCCAAGGAGGCAGCAGCTTAAGGGCTTTGATTCATCTCTTTCGATACTTAATAACTTCTCATCTTCTTCTTTTGTTGACAACAACGAAACAAACAAACTAAAACCGATGCTTTTGTCTGAGTGTGAGGGATCAATACCGAGAAAACAGATTCATAAGACACAAGTGTTATGTTACATTTCCACAATTTCCACAATTCTAATGAACTTTTTTTGTCTTTTATAGCTTAGTTATTTACTCCCCATGGCTTCGACCTTCTGTCTGAAAATCCTTGCATCTATGTGACTTCAATGGATGGCCACAAAGCCTTGGATTCCCCAAAACCGCAGTTCGTCCTATGTTAACCAGAGCTCCGGTTTGTGGGAATGGCCCCTCAGATTTGTTCTTCATCCTTGAAAAACTTCTCCTGATATCTCTACCAAATAAAACCATTCTATTTACATGCTTTGAAGCAAAATCATCAATTAAAGATTCAACATCTAATTCTTTCAAAAAAATTGTTCTCAATGGCTATTAAAGTTAATCCAATTAATCTCTCAGGTAAGATTTCAAAAATTTCAGTTTGGAGAAACTTCTTTCTACAGAAGCAAAAGTAATAGAAACTGTAAGTAAAATTCTATATGCAATTGTAGTATTTGGAAAACTATCAAATTCTACAAGAAAATTCAGAACATCTTGTTACAAAGGGTACCTAGTAAATGCTGTGTGAGTAATGAACACTTTTGTATCGGAACAGGTAGATTATACACTAAAGATAACTCATCAAGATGACAAATTTGTTAATCTTCAGTAACAGCAGCCGAAGTTATACACCAAAGATGGGACTCATCAATAACAATAAATCAAACCTGCTATGTCAATTTAGGTTTAGCTTTTCGAAAGAACACATCAAATCAAATGAATAGACAAAAATATAGATTCAAGATTGCTTAAGCCTTTTTGGCAATGACAAAATTTAAACTTGGAGATTTTTTCTTTTATTATGGCGCCGACCAAAAGTAGTTTGAGAAAACAAAACAAAACCAAAAAGGTAAGTGTCCAACAAACGGCTAAGATCTGTCCGAGGAGAGAGGTTAACTTCAAACAAACGGTTCAGATCTGTCTGAATTTAAAAAAAAAATGAAAAGAAAAGAAACTCCTACCAAGAAAAGGAAACTCCTTTGCCTTTATATATTGACTAGTATTATACCCGATGCTATGCATCGGGAAATAGAGTTAGCATAATGTGTTATTATTTTAAGCAAACCAAAATATATTAAAAAGGATTAACATTATCCAAATAAATTAGACAACTATATTAACAATTTTCTTTCATTTTTTTCAGAAAATAATGGAGCCAAAAACATATACGATTCAGAAGTAGAACATTAATATCTTTTATAAACCACAAAATATTTTGTTAATAAATAATAAACAATACAATGAATATTTCAAAAAGTAATAAACATCAGCCAAATGATTTAAAGGTATGTTGGTTTAATATATAGTAGATCATTATAAATATTATCATCACAGTTCTATAAACACTATTGAAATATATAGATTTTTTTCTCTTAACGGATTGAACACTATAATTTTATTTCAATATTTGTTTATATATGGTTTTCTTATTGCAGATTTAATGAACAAAATAGGTCCAGAAGTATACACACTATTCTTAATTTATTAGTTGACTTGAACAATAATTTTTAAATTCTCTGTACACTAAACTAATAGTCGAAAGGGAAAAAAAAAAGAGAGGAGTAACACGTCCAGTTATTAAACTACATAATTCTTGCCAAAATTTTGAGAACTTATCAGAACTTACACCTCTAGTGTTGACATCTGATTAACTGAACACATAAAGTTATCATTAATAATTAAGAGCAATATGTTTCAGATTATGTTTCAAAAAAAAAAAAATGTTTCAGAATATACTTTCTCTTACTTTTATGAGTCGATGTTCGTACAAATTTGTTTACTGGTTTTGAAGTCATCCTCAAGTTCTTCTTCTGCGTTTTAATGATACACCTGGAAAAAATTGAAAAAACAATAGATGAATAATGGTTATGGCAGATCCATAAAACGAACAAAGAAAAAAAAGTTACATCTTCTGTAAAAAATGATGATGATAGATTTTTTTCTTTGGATAATTTATATAAAAGACAATCGTTAGATGGATAAAGAGGGTGAGTGGTAGAAGTGGGGAGTTAATTTAGACATATTGGTAATTGTTGATTTGTTTTGTTATAAAAATGTTAAAAAAATAAAGTTAACTGGAAAAAAGTTAAGAGAAAACTGTCCAAAAAATTAAATAAAAGTTAATTTAAAAACACGTGTCAAGCAGAGAATCTTCGACTGACTTCTGCTTTATATAATAAAAGATGGCAGATCCATAAAACGAACAGAGAAAAAAAAGTTACATCTTCTGTAAAAAATGATGATGATAGATTTTTTTCTTTAGATAATATAAAAGATGATGTCTTGCATTATTGCATTGTTTTATCTACTCTTTTGCATATCTTTTCATCATGTAGGTTAGGTTCTAGCCATGTTTAGGTTGCATTTTGCATACATGAGTCCCCTTTAGGTATTGGAGTTTCACATGGAAGCTTTGGAGACATTTGGGGTTCATTAGAAGTTCAAGAGGAGCAAAAGGAGTGATCTAGACCCGG